GATTACGACTCCATGACGGCAGGTATTCAGCTGCCCGGGCGTGACATGATCGACTTGAACAAGACTATTGTCGTGGTTGGCTACTCTGAGCTAGGACCCTGGGGTAGTGCCCGCACACGCTGGGACATGGAGCGAGCTGGCAATCTCAGTCCCGAGGGGTACGTCGAGATGGCCTGGATCATGGGTTTGGTCAAGCACTTCGAGGGCGACCAGCAGGGATCTCCCTACGTAGGCTGGGTCGACGCCAAATCCAACCAGCCTGTGCACGAGGCCGACTTCGCGGAGAAGTATGGCGAGTATATCCACGAACACGCGGGTCTGCGCTTCATCGAGCCAGAACTCTACGATGGCTACGATCCTGCCAAGAAGGAATTCCTGCAGGAGGTGGTGGTGCAGGAGGATCTACCTATCTTCCAGGCGACTCGTGCTGTCGCTACCGCGTTCAAGACAAAGCACGGCGACAAGGTCTCAATCTCTCCGGCTGGAGAAGATGGGGAGGAGTACAATGTGCAATTTAAGCCCGGAGCTCGATTCTTGGTGCCAAAGGCGCAGCCATTCGACCGACTAGTGTCGGGCCAGCTGCCTACGGGATGGGATCCAAAGGCGTATGGTATCCCAGCGGACATTGTCTCGCAGGTAGATCCGATCACGTTGTATGTCTTGTGCTGTGTGTGTCAGGCCATGTTGAGCGCCGGCATCCAGGACCCCTACGAGCTATACAGACACATACACGTCTCGGAGCTGGCCAATTGCATTGGCACGGGCGCAGGCGGGTTGATCGCCATGCGTGGTGTGTACCGCGATCGGTATCTCGACCGTGACGTACAGAATGATATCCTGCAAGAGTCGTTCCCCAATGCCATGGATGCCTGGGCGAACATGCTGCTCATGGGTGCGGCGGGTCCCATAAAGTCGCCGTCTGGAACATGTGCCACGGCCATCGAATCGCTGGACACAGCCTGTGAGGGCATTCAGGCCGGCAAGGTTAAGGTGGCCCTGGTGGGTGGCACAGATGACCTGCAGGAGGAGATGTCGTACGAGTTCGCCAATATGAAGGCGACAGCCAACACAGTGGAGGAGCTGGCGCGCGGTCGCACTCCACGAGAAATCTCTCGCCCGACGGCTAGTTCCCGCGCGGGATTTGTCGAGTCTGCAGGATGCGGTGTACAAGTGCTCATGACGGCGCAGTTGGCGCTCGACATGGGAGTGCCCATCTACGGCATCGTCGCATACTCACAAATGGCGGGCGACAAGATCGGTCGCTCTGTGCCTGCACCAGGTAAGGGCATCCTGACCGCTGCCCGTGAATCGACTACCGCATCGCTGTCACCTCTTCTGGATGCCACATTCCGCCAGAAGCAGTTTGAAGAGCTACGAACGCAGATCCAGCAGGGGGCGGCTCGCCAGCTTCAGCAGGCCCGACAGGATGGTCAGCTCTCGCCACACCTGGCCCAAGTCATCGACAGGGCTGCAGCATCACAAATTCGTCAGGCCCAGAATCTCTACGGGCTAGATCTACGACACCAAGAGCCCGGTATCTCACCCATTCGCGCAGCGCTGGCTGTATGGGGTCTCACCGTCGATGATATCGGGGTGGCCTCATTCCACGGCACTTCGACCAAGGCCAACGACAAGAATGAGTCGGAGGTGATCAACACAATGATGAGCCATCTCGGCCGCACTAAGGGTAACCCGGTTGTGGTCGTGTGCCAGAAGTACTTAACGGGCCACCCCAAGGGTGCCGCAGGAGCATGGATGCTGAACGGAGGCCTGCAGATCCTGCAGTCAGGAATCGTGCCAGGCAACCGCAACGCAGACAACGTCGACTCGGTCCTGCAGCAGTTCGACCACCTCGTGTACCCTGCGGAGTCTATTCAGACACGCGGAGTGCGAGCCTTCATGCTCACCTCGTTCGGATTCGGCCAGAAGGGCGGCTTGGTGGTGGGTGTGTCTCCGCGCTATCTCTTTGCCGCGGTGGATCAGACGCCCTACGAGGCCTATCGCATCAAGGCGCTCCGACGCTGCGAAATGGCGAATCGCGCCTTTATCGAGGGGCTCAACACGAACAGTCTTTTCCAGGCCAAGACATCGTCCGCCTGGGCCGCCGAGGACGAGATGCGAGTATTCCTGGATCCATTTGCGCGGGTTGCCGTTGACGACGGCAGCTACTATTTCGATGCCAAATGTCTGCATCCTGATTCAGAGGACTCACTTTCTGAGACGAGCTCTGGAGTCTTGACTGCCGTGGAGACACCCTCAACGCCCACCAGCGAGCCGCTGATGAACGCGTGCCAGAAATGGGTAGAGGGAGCTGTGTCGACAGATGGAACGACCTCGGTAGGTGTGGACATTGAGTCAGTGACTGCTATTAATGTCGAGAACGACGTATTCCTGGAGCGGAACTACACTGAGGCTGAGAGAGAGTATTGCCATGCTGCGCCAGATCCGGCACACTCGTTTGCAGGCCGTTGGGCAGCCAAGGAGGCCGTGTTCAAGAGTTTGCAGGTGCCGTCCAAGGGAGCAGGGGCTCCGCTCAACGATATTGAGATCCTAAGTGATAGTGGGATTCCAACTGTTCATGTGAGTTGCTCTGTTCCTGAATATGTAGTGATCACAGGCTAATGAGACTGCAGCTACATGGTGAAATCAAGAAGCTCGCTGAAGAGAAGCAGCTGGCCAAGGTTCAGGTCAGTATTAGCCACTCGGGCGAGCTTGCCATGGCGGTGGCTGCCACTACGTTTGGTCCTGCTGAGAAGGAGTGAATGTTGTTACAGAGGGAGGAATAGAGCGTATGAAAAGATCCAGACTGTACAGATTGACTTGGACACTTGGTGTTTAATGATTGCAATTCTTTTGTTTGTAATGAGTACTATGAGCTTTATGATTAGACATTACTATATCTATCACAATATATTTGCAGCAACTATCAGTGTCATACTTTTACAAGCCAAATTTTAAGCCGATGAGAGACACAGCTGATTCTGTATTCATTCCCTCGGCACATGGATGATGCCCCCTAGACAGCACATCCTGCAGAAACATGAATAGCATTATATCGCGGTTGTCAATTGTTATTATGTCTATCCAAATCAGCAGCTGGATCCCGCTGCCCCAGGCCGAATCGCTACACGGGAGGGCGCAGTCTTGATTGCTAGAGCTTTACTAAGTTAATGCATATTACGATGACCTCAACCGTGCTGTATTTATCTCACTGCATAAGTCCAGACCAAGTGAATACCTGTTTTCTCACTCCTGGTCCTGGGGAAAGAATTCTTGGATGGTACAGTGGTCCATAACCTTAAAAACCGGTTAAACCCATAGTTCCTAGACACTCGGGTGGCTCAATCCTTGACCAACACCCTATATAGAGTATTTGCTGTATATTTATTATTCTAGTTTTCTTATTCAAAGTCTTAAGTAAATCATACTTTTCAATCAATTTTACTGGCGGTAAAGGGACTTGGTGTTAAAAAACGTATTTGCCCGATGGCCGCCATTAACCGCCGTACCCGATTCAATTTTGCTCATTATTCCCAGCTCCGGATCTCACGATTCCACACAATGAAATTTTCACTCGAGCTTGCCAAAGAAGATGACTTTCCCGAGCTCATAACCGCACAGTGGGAAACGTTTGACAATCCTCCGCAGGGCATTTTTCGCCTCTTCTTCCCCATCGAAGATGGCGATTGGGAGAAGAGCCTGCAGAGAAGTATCGAGGACCAGCGCACGTCTTTCATCAAGGAGCAGCCGACCGTCAAGTGGATCAAGGTCATGGATGTAGAGAAGAAACGGATTGCGGCCGCTGCCAAATGGTATTTCTTCGACAATGCCAGCTCTTTGGCCAAACGCCCACCGGTCGAGGTTGATTGGTATCCCAAAGGGGTGATCAGGAACTTTGTGACTCAGGCTGTGCAGCAATATGAGCAGCCACGGCATGAGATGGGCCAAGGGCCACATGCATGTAAGTCTATTCTGTTGTGAACATGATTTGGTCCTGGACGGTTGCTACACATTCCTTACTGAGAGAAACAATTCTGGGCCTTTACATCCAACAGCCCACTGACAATGTTAGATAGACCTCCACATTGGTTTCACTAGACCCAAGTATCAAAAGCAAGGTCTCGGTAGTAAGTGGATGGAATGGGGACTGGCAGAGGCGGACCGATTGGGGCTGGAGACCAGACTAGACTCTACTGATTCGGGTGTACCTCTGTACGAAAAGTACAACTTTCAGGTAGCCAAGGTGCATGAATTGAGTCCGGTAATGCCCGCAAGTCTGACGAGTAATGAGATGCGGGAATGGAAACGCTGTGAAGAGGAATTTCTACCCATTCGCACCACTGTGATGGTGCGCTTCCCAGGTGGAGTTCCCGCTGCAAGCATGGAGGTTCAAGGAAATCAGTAAAAGAGGAGGACGTTCGTATACATGAATATCACTACTTGTGTAATCCCCACTTGTAGGGAGACATAAGTACACCGCAGGTGAAAATCCGGTGAGACAAAGACTACTTACGAATATGTCCTCAACTTATGTTTTGAAATTCCGTGAATGAAAATTGTTCGACGGCATCCCCCTTTGTCCACGAGTCATAAACTAGAATCCCGAGGACAACAAACCATCCCAGCGGTGATTTCCTTCCAAGGGCTTACAAGATGAGTAGAAGCCCAATAAATTGGTAGTAGGGGCCCGATATCTCAGCCAATTTACAACCGATCACCAGGCTTCCTCCCTGATTATCGGTAGCTGCTTAGAAAAGTATCCCTGCTTCTCCGGAGTATATAGGTGTAGTCACCATTCCCCGGCCCATTACATTGCTTCAATTTTCCTACATTCTTCTCCAAAGTCTCTCAAAGTTCAGGTCCATCACTTACAGTCTCACCACCCAGAATTTTGATGTCTCTGCCTCCCCATACGAAAGATTTTGTAAGGTTACCTGGCCTACTCATACCGCTCATCCCAAACTATATTCGGCCGTCTGTTGGATCTACTCAGCAGCAAGATGAGATATCTCTGGAATCTACATAGTAGAGGTCAGTATAGCATAACTGGCAATCAGGAATACTATGTTTAAGTCGGAGAGAAGAAAGTAAAATGCAAAGCTAACATCTGGGTCAATTAGGTCGGTGGTTTCGTTGCTATGAAGCGTACGGTCCTGTTCTTGAATTAGTTTCCGATCGCCCCGAGGCGCTGAAAAAGATTAAGCAGCTGTGTGAGGAGCCGGACAAGCTAGATGAATGGGAGGAAGCTCAATTTCCTGCTCCGGTAGGTGCGCTGGCCAGCATAGTCTACACCGTGAATTTGGACGCTGGCACACTGGTAGTGTCCTACATCGATGTCCCAGAGTATGAACCCCAGATAGTGACTGACTGGTATGATCTGCACACGGTACGTGAGGCCTCTAGCTTGTCTGCAGCGGGACTCCGTGAGGATCTGAAGGAACTACCTACGCATGCCCCTGAGGAAATTATGAATAATGGATTGGCGCAGCCGCCGCTGGAACCACTGCATCTCCACTTGGATATCCCGACTTTCCTGAACGAACTGCAAGCCCGATTGTTCATCGACCTTATGTGGGCCTGGCGCTGGCACGTTTGCGATCCAATAACTATGCGTTATGATTCACCGGCGTTGAATTACTTTTGTATCACTATCTTACGTCTTGCAGCTTGGGATTTCGAGGTTTCATTTGACACCGACGTTGACCTCCCAGTGACAGATTATCCTGATGTACCCTGGAGCTGTCCCAAAGGTGACATCTACTGGTTCCATGGATTCCTTGTTGTTCTACACAACAACCTGGAGGATCAATCCATGGTCCGCTCAGCCGTTCAAAAGGCTGAGCAGTACCTTAAGAAAACCGCATCCCAGAATCATCACACCCGCTTGATAATCATTTCGACATGCCAAGTTGTCTTTGCTGAGATTTCAGACGACACTGTCCGTGCAAGCAGCCCCAGTATGCTGATTTCGGATATGTCCAGCGGCCGGTGGCCTGCGGGTTTCCGTGCTCTCTGCCAGATCCTCACAACAAACTGCTGGCGAGAAAGCAAGACACACCGGGAGACATGGAAGCCTCGCCTGCCTGCGGAAATTATTCAGCTCATCCTGCAGCATCTGGAACCACGCGATACGGTAGCATTTACAAAAGCATCTTTCATTACCGAAAGAAAGTATTACGCAAGTATACACCAATTCAAAGACCTTGTCATACAGAGCTTCCGGTTGCTAATACCATGTTGTGGCAAGCGCAGCGGACTCGAAGAGTCCGGGGTGATGTGCTCAGTTTGCTACTCCTGGCAACACAGTGACTGCCTTGACCAAGCTAATCTTCCGAGTGATAGTTGTCCCCACTACATTTGCTCGCGCTGTCGAAGTGGTGAGCCAGAATTTCTCATGGGCCGGGAAGCCATGTACAAGTTTCGGCGTAAAGGAGCATGCAAGGTTCGACACGAAGTTACCCTCAAGAGGTTTTGGCTACAGCAGAACCAACACGTTTCTAGTAAAATGCATGAGTCCAAACACTGTCTTGCGGACATCGACTATACAGTCCGTTTTAACGGTGCTTTTTCAGGTTTAGCTTATGGTTTTGACGATCGTGACTTGGACGATGATGGCACTGATGCTGATGGCTATAATGCTGATGGCTACGATAATTATAGCTACGACGATAGTGGTTATGAGTATGATGACCATGACGAAGATGACATTGGAAACCATGACACTGACCATAATGAATTTGACGATGAACCCTGAGAGTTCCTTGCTATCTTGGTAATCAAAACGTAGTTGAGATGGTGCAAATAGAGAATATATGACTTGATGAAGGCAATTCAAATTTATAGCGCTTTCGACGCGTCTCACGCCCTTATATCTGTTCCACTACTTATAATCATGCCCTTCGGGGCTGTCAGACCGTATTTATCCACGCTCCACTGTCTCTCGCGCAGGCATATCATGTAGTGCCATATGCCTCAACATCCGTTCAATCTGAACACTATCCCTGCGCACATGAAAAGCATGCTGCTCCTGAGATTGACCGGATAGTGCCCATGGCACAAGACGCTCATGTTCAGGCAGCTGTCCATGATACTCGTAAAAGTATACCGACTGACCCTGAACCAGTACTGCCCAGCAACTCTCCACCCCTGGAATTCGGTGCTGAATAGATTGCTGGAGTCGACTGATACAACTCTGAAGTATATTATCCACTTCCGATCTAGCCACGACGTGATCGACGATCTTACGATTCTCTGATCGACTGGGCTGAATGTGGCGAATTATGTATTCGAAACCTGTAGAGAACTCGTTGCTAGTTGACTTGGGTGCAACTATGAACCCTTCATTTATAAGGAAGTAGTAAGAGAGAATACCAGATGTCATTGCTTTCACCGCGTCTGCGTTGCTTGGGTCCTCCTCGACTCGTCGGATAAGTTCATTGAGGATGGGCATGGTGAGATATTCTGCCATGGTTGGTGGTCGAATTCAAAGGGATTTTGAACCTGAGTATTTGCAGTGTGGGTGAGCTCTGGGATTATCTAGCAGCTAGGAGAAAGGGGGACTTGATAGAGGGGTGTAGCGAAGCTCGAGCTGACCACTTCGCCAAGGTGGGGGAGATATTCTTGTCTCTCGCAAAATAAGCAGTAAAATAGCCGAGGATCGGCAGTGATCGTCGCTTATCTTCTTAAATTCAGGTAGTCGGCTTCCTCTTGTTCTGTCTAACTTTTCCTTTATTGTCTATCGTATAATTGACGTCACATATTAACATATCTAATCATTTCCCAGTATGCAATCCTGAACCAGCCTTATACTGGCTTATCATCCTCTCATCGCCAAAACGCCACCTGAGACTCCCAGAGAGCTCAGGCCTATGTGCATGTAATGATATACGAACGAAACAGAACTAAAGATTTATACCCAATACCTTCGATGCATGGTTCCCCAAGCCTCACTCTCACTCTATCCCTCCTTTTCTGATAAATCGTGTGACAACCGCACAACGCATCACAATTCCAACTGAGATGACTTTCTGACGCTGCCACCATACTTGTAAAACAGCATTGGCACTGGAATCATGCCAAGTGTAACGAATCCCAGCAGGGAATTACCCCATCCGTAGCCCAATGTCGAGTACATGCGCGGTCCCGCCAGCGGCAGCAGAGCACCCATCAGCGACCGTGTGACCACCATCGCGGCGGTACCGGAGGCAGCATACCGAGGATAGCAGTCGATCACGTAGGTCTGCAATGTATTGTAAATACCCACCATGCCGAACGCAAAAGGCGCCAGGCCAATGATCGGCACAATCCAGTGCGTATGCTCCTGCGCAGACCATCCGTACCAAAAGAACGAGACGGGGATGAAGAAGGCAAAGACGATGGTGATGGACAAACGCATTTCCGGCTCAAAGACGTTGTTGTTGCGCAACTTCAACCGTGTGATGATACGGTCACTGACCAAGGCAAAGACTATCTGGCCACTGATAAAGCCGACACCGAGACCGAGATACGCGAGGCCACTGATCTCCGTGCTCCAGCCGTAGGACTTCTTGAAGACATCGGTCACTGTGGTAAAGAGCAAGTAGAGACATCCGTAGAGTGTGGCCAGATAGGTGGCAACTGGGAAGACGATCGGCGAACGGACCAAGAGGTAAAATGGCATGATCAGCCGCTTGCCGAGGGTGCCTGTATAAGAACCTTTGGCATCCGCTCCATTGGGTTCGTAGCAGCTGTATAGTTCGGGACGATTGAGCTCCTTGCGGAGGCGCTCGGTCTTACGGCGTATGATTACGACGTGGTTGGTCTCACGGTTGAAGATCATGACCAGAGCAGAGAGCGTGCCGCCCGCAATGACCAGCACCCAGAACACCTAACAGGATATCAATGTCAGTTGTGTGGATGAAAACGCAGGTGAAAATGACTCACCCAGTGCCAACCCGCTCGCTGAGCGATAAAACCTCCAAGAAGCGGTCCCAGAACAGGTCCGATCAAGATACCTGTTGTATACACTGCCATTGCAATTCCACGCTGTTCGGCCACAAATAAATCGGCCACCACACCACCGCCTGTGGTCAAACAAGCCGATCCACCAACGCCCGTTAGGAAACGAAAGACGATTAGTGCAGAGATATTGGGGGCTAGCGCGCAGCCAATCTGGAAGGCGACAAAGAACGTGTTGGCCGCACTGAGGACGATCCGTCGGCCGTACATCTCACTCAGCGGAGAGAAAAAGAGAGGACCAGTCTATATGGCAATTTCGGTAAGCCAGAGTCATGTTCTTGACAAAATGGAGACCGCACATACCACATAACCGATGAGATAGCCTGTGACCGAGAGAGTTCCCAAAATAGTCGATGTGACATCAAATTCCTCCTCCGCATACACCACACCTGGAGAGAAGACCGAAGACGCGAATGGACTGAAGAGGTCGTGAGTAAAAGCCAGTCACCTGTTTATTTGGGAGAAGTCTCAGCATACCTGATGAATGTGATGGTACTGACCAGTATCATCAGAAACCATTTCTGGGACACAGGAAAATTCCTATTTCTTGTCAGATGCTAGATCTTACGTGGTGGCAGATGTGACCCGGTTATCCCTCACCTCGGATTCGTTGGGTCATCCTCGCCGTCCCATCCTACCATGTCCTTCTCCAGGTCTATCACAGGGTGCACGTCGGGTCTCTAGTAACTTGCCGTTAGTCAACGGCTCACTAGTGGACATAATACTTGATGACAGCGGAAATCAATGCCTACCTTACCGCCGGCCATGGCGCTGGACGAATCCTTGCTAGTGATTGGTTGTTTGTATTCTCGGAAAATCGAAGTCGAAGTTTATAGTGGTAAAAGTTGCACTAATGATCGAGCAAACAATTGCATAGTTTGGATGGTGCTCAGCGCTTGTTCGTGGGTTAGTTGCGCCTGGGCACCATTCTATGAGAGATATATAAGGGGGCCGCGATACATCCTTCAGGGAGGCTCGGGCCGCGCAGACTTCAAAATCTGACAGATACATCCCAAAAGGAGTCGTGCAATGCACTAAGCATATCTTTCCGGCACGCAATTGACCGCCACGTTGGATCCGGCCTTGTGCAGTGGTTGAGATCAGCGCGTCTGGACTTGCAGCGCCGGTTGGTCGGCACTCGGCCTGCGAGGCCCGATGTTTGGGTTAGACCGACCCATTGCGCTGCCGCCCGTGGTTCGGAATCTCACCCAGCAGCCACTCGGATGTTGGGTGGTCAAGGTCTCGGATTGGACGAGAAGGAAAAAAAAAAAAAAAGATAGACAAACACTAAGGGAGGGAAAAATAAAAGGAGGAAAACAAAAAGACATGAGGGTTCATAATCAGTTGCCACGCGCACGCGGCACCACGCTCAGCTATTATCGGTCGGATCTTAAGGCGCCCGGCATTGGACACTAGTACCCCCAAACCACAATCACATTACAAGTCGGTCTAGAACAGATAGTCGAAGCTGAGTAAATCCCCCGTCATCCCGTCAAATTCCCCAAACTCTCTCCCGAACAGGTAATCCTCGCCTTCCGTAGGTCGTTGCAAATTAAAGGGTCGCGCTTCCAGGTAGTACGTCTGATCTCCGAGCCCTGGCTCCGGTCCATAAGTGGCAGCAGCCCCGGCCAGCGCCTCCATAACTCGCTCAGCTGTCTGGGGAGTGGTGTTTTCGGGCGCCGGAGTTGGCATAGTTGTACATGGCGCACCTGGTTGGAGCGGGGGAACCACATACCCTGACGGTACCGGGGTGGAATCTAAATGAGATAACGGAGGCTGTGATACAGGAATCATGCCGTATGCTTCGACCGGATTAGACTGGGAAGGATGCGTCTCCACGCCCCGTGTGAATGACCCTGAACTGGGGGCAACCACTTCACCCGCTCCAGGACCGTTATATCTCTGATTCCCCTGAGGTGATGCAGCATGACCCTGTCTTGTCGTCGGTCCCGTATACGGCTCGCTGGCTTTATCCGCAACTGCCTCTGTGGTGTCATTCGGACTTTGCGACTGCGAGCCGTGATCCGATTTAGTGAACGTAGCTGTCAGTACCTAGTCGCTTACGTTAGCCTAGAATCGTCAACATGGAACCATCGCTGGTCGTACCGTTAATGCCACATGCAGGCGACGGGAATGAGAACTGTAAGGGGTGAGGCACATCAGCATTCTCTTTGCTGTGTTCAAATCCATTTTGAGATTTCTTGCTGTGTCCGGGTTCTTAGAGCCCACCACCACATATATCAATGATAAACCTGCTGTGCAGACCATGTACGCAATCCTCCAGTGTGCTCCATATAGGAGACCGTCCCGGTGCATATCCTCGGTCAAATGGATAAGATTGCGGCTGGCGTCAACACACGCCGAGGCGTACTTGTGAAATCCGTGTTCGGCATGGCCGTTCCCCTCGGTGCTGTCGACGAAGTAGTGCAGGAACGGTCGATATAGAAGAATTTGGACGTGTGCATATGTCATCCATAGCTCGTATTTCGCCCTGCGACCTGTTAGCTGAGTGGAACTTAGTGGGACCGCACTCATGGTGACCTTACTTCTCTAAGTGGGGGGCGTATCGACTTGTTCCCCGTTTATACCCCAGTGGGAGCGATGTGGACCACTTCTGCAGCTCCGCTTCGAGCTGCGTCACAATGTCGTTGCTCACCCGGTGGCTCATGGATCCGCTGTTGGTTTTGCGCCGGACGCCTCCCGACGGATAAAGCTCGCGAACGATTCGATCCAGAATATTGTGGAGCTTCAACAGCGCGACAGAACCAGACATACTCCGAATCAGTGCCGGGTCTTGTAAGGCTTGAGATATCCTGGTCGACTTAAGGTCGTTATCGTCCAGATCTAGCGGCTGTTCGATGTCGACTTCGTTGCTGTTGATCGGCCGCGGATAGCCACACATCGAGGCTACGACCATCAGTAATTGTCGTAGAGACCAAAAAAGTCTCCTTTTAATCTCGGCAACAATTAGATTGTCCCTCGTGTTCGGCAGCTGGAGATTCATGCGAACAGCGAGAGAGAATGCGTGTGACAGGCATGTATAGCACGGTGATAGCCTCTCCGTGCTCAAGATGAATAGGTTCATATAGAATATTGCTTGTAAGGTAACGATATCATTGCAGTCGTGCAGATCAACAAGATCACGGCATGTCGAGAAATATTTCGTTCTGCCTGCGTTAGCATGAATCTAGTTTAAACGACACACCAGGTTGAAGACATACCTCTCCGCGGTCGTGTCGTCCCCGCTTTCAGATGGGCCCTCGCCGATCTTCTCAAAAAGGCAGCCCAACGCCATGAGAGCGTAAACGAGCGGGATATGGCGCATTTCCCCTTCCCCATAGTCGCTCCGATCCAGGCTGTAGAGGAGTTCGAACGCCGAGTCAAACGTGGGTCGGTGCACGACATGATAGAGGACGCTTGCATCCAGCGCTATGTTGATTAGGTGCTCCGCTCGCTCACGGGGTGGTAAGC